CTCAGCCCTCTGTGAGTAGTAAACAGCCATCAGTGTGCTAATGACCCATTGTTAGGCTGATGGTCCTTCTTGAGCATGTGATCAGCTGGTTTTGGTTGTCAGCAGCAAACTGGTTGATCCACCCTGAGAAGGTGCTATTTAAGAGACTGAGCTGAAAACAGCACCTCAGACTGAGGAAGTCTCTTGGATGAGAGACGAAACGTTTCTAGATTTTTTTGCTTTGTTTTTTTTTTTTTGAATGTCCAGAGGACCAGATTGAACTTTTTTGGATTTTTCTACCTGGATTATTGAGCATGCATCAGGAAGGTTATAGAATATTTATCTTTTTAACTCTCTTGCTGTCCTTGGGACAAAATAGCCCTTGAGGCCTCAGTTTTAACTGGAAATGCTCTTCTGGAGGTGTGGAAGTTCTGCAAAGTGCTTTACAGTTTTTCTCATTCATCCACCCATTCTGGGACAGAGCTACCAACAACCCAGACCGGCCTGCAGTGGGACCCCACACTGATGTGTGAGGTTCAGATATCACCACATCTTATAAAAAGTTCTAGACATCCTGAAGACTGTGGTATAAACACACAAACACACACACACACCAGGACAGAAGTGTTTAAACTTGTTTATGTCAGTGGTACTGACCGACAGACCCGGTACCGTCAATGATAGCAGTGACAGTAGACAACGCTCTGGCATTGCCCTTCAGGCTTTTGTGGGTCCCCTAAATATAAAAACAGGGGAAAAGAAAAAGGTAGGACAGGGTCATAAAATCAATAAAGCAATAATTTCTAAATGGTTCAAACAAACTAGACCAGAATCAGATTGCTTACCAAATCAGCAGACACTGCAGTAGTGATGAGAGCATACGGTCCATTTACCAGTCCGCCACAAACCAACAGCATCACTGAAGACACAAAGAGGAGACATTCTGTTGGCATACAGCATGAATGTCAACTTCATCACACACACACACACACACACACACACACACACACACACACACACACACACACACACACACACACACACACACACACACACACACACACACACACACACACACACACACACACACACACACGTCATAAATTTAGAATATCATGAAAAAAACATTTCAGTAATTCCATTCAAAAAGTGGAACTTGTATATTATATTCATTCATTACACACAGACTGATGCGTTTCAGATGTTTGTTTTTTATGTTGATTATAACTGACAACTAATGAAAACACCAAATTCAGTATCTCAGAAAATTTGAATATTGTGAAAAGGTTCAATATTGAAGACACCCGGTGCCACACTAATTAGCTAATTAACTCAACACTTCTGCAAAGGCCTTTAAATGGTCTCAGTCTAGTTCTGTAGGCTACACAATCATGGGCAAGACTGCTGACTTGACAGTTGTCCAAAAGACAACCATTGATACCTTGCACAAGGAGGGCAAAACACAAAAGGTCATTGCTAAAGAGGCTGGCTATTCCCATAGCTCTGTGTCCAAGCACATTAAAAAAGAGGGGAAGGGAAGGCAAAGATGTGGTAGGAAAAAAGTGTACAAGAAATAGGGATAACCGCACCCTGAAGAGGATTGTGAAATGAAACCCATTCCAAAATGTGGGAGAGATTCACCAAAAGTGGACTGCAGCTGAAGTCTGTGCTTCAAGAACCACTGCGCAGACGTTTGCAAGACATGGGTTTCAGCTGTCACATTCTGTTAACTGATGACATACCAGTGGAGGTTTGGAAAGGTCTTGGAGAGATGACAGTGAGGTTTTTGATTAAAATATTCAATGTAATACTTGAGTGTGAGAAAATGCCTGAGGAATGGAGAAGAAGTGTGCTGGTGGTCATTTTAAAGAGCAAGGGTGATGTACAGAGTTGTAGCAACTACAGGGGAATTGAGTTGATGAGTCACACGTTGAAGATCAGGAGAGAGAGAGTTGTGGAAGCTAGACTTAGATGAGAGGTGACTGTGAGCAGTAGTATGGTTTCATGCCAAGAAAGTGCACCACAGATCCATCTTTGCTTTGAGGATGCTGATGAAGAAGTACACAGAAGGTCAGAAAGAACTCCATTGTGTCGTTGTGGATTTAGAAAAAGCATATGACAGGGTGATGAGGGAGGAGGTGTGGTATTGCATGAGGAAATCTGAAATGGCAGAGAAGTATTTTAAACTGGTACAGGACATGTATGAGGACAGCAGGACAGTGGTGAGATAAGTTGTATGAATGACAGATAGCTTTAAGGGTGGGATTGCATCAAGGATCGGCTTTGAGCACCTTCTCGTTTGCTCTTGTGATGGACCGACTAACAGATGAGGTCAGGTAGGAATCCCCATGGACGATGTTTGCAAATGACATTGTGAGCTGTGGTAAGAACAGGGAACAGGTGGAAGAGAACTTGGAGATGTGGAGGTATGCACTTGAAAGAAGAGGAATGAAAGTCAGCCGTAGTAAAACAGAGTACGTGTGTGAATGAGAGGGAGGCCAGTGGAACAGTGAGGTTACAAGGAGCAGAGGTCACAAAGGTGCAGGACTTGAAGGACTTTGGGTCCGCTGTCCAGGAAAATAGAGTGTGGTAAAGAGGTGAAGAAGAGAGTGCAGGCAGGATGGAGTAGATGGCGAAAAGTTTCAGGAGTGATTTGCAACAAAAAGTTGTCAGCAAAGGTCAAAGGAAAAGTTTACAAGACAGTGGTGAGACCAGCTGTGTTGTATGATCTGCAGACAGCGACATTGACAAACAGACAGGAGACAGAACTGGAAGTGGCAGAAATGAAGATGTTGAGGTTCTCCTTAGGAGTGACAAGGATGGAGAAGATCAGGAATGAGATCATCAGAGGTACAGCACATGTTGAACAACTGGGAGATAAAGTTAAAGAGGACACACTGAGATTGTTTGGACATATCCAGAGGAGGGACAGTGGGTATATTGGTAGAAGGATGTTAGAAATGCAGCTGCCAGGAAAAAGACCAAAGTGGAGATATACGGATGCAGTTAGAGAGGACATGGAGGTAGGTGGAGTGAGGATAGAAGATGCAGAGGACAGAGTGAGATGGAAGACTCGCTATGGCGATCCCTGAAGAGGGAAAAGCGGAAAGAAGAAGATACACTATTAAATGGGTTTAGCTTGTTGCACGTGCTTTTAATGCATCACAACTCCTCTCCTCCCATCCTGAAAATCCCAGCAGACTGCTGGGTGGGTCCTGGTACCACCACAGACCTTAAGAAGTCTAATGAAGTCCATGCCTCAACAAGTTGTGGGTATTTTGGTGGAAAATTGCCTCAACCTTTAACAAGTGTAATGTTCGGTCATAATTAATTTATGAGTGAAGAATAAATGAAAATATTACTATTTTTAATGAGTGTTGGAAAATGTCATGATTGTAGATGCTAATATGTTATTCAGATAATTATAGCTGGCTGTTCCATATTAGGCCCTAAAATCCACCTGAGTGGATCTGTGTGGTCTGAGACAGCTGAAGGTTGGTAGCTGCTTCTCACCAATCGTTGGGCCCAGTCCGAACTCGCTGATCATAGAGAAACCATAGAGCTGGAGAACAAGAACAGAAACAATCAGAATTAATAATTGTCACTGGTCTGATCAAATGGTAAATGGACTGTACTTATACAGGTCCTTCTCAAAAAATTAGCATATTGTGATAAAGGTCATTATT